CCTCCCTCATAAACCCTTGATAATTTTTAAATTATTATTTTCTCATATTTTACACTGTCCGATGTCTCCCTTAACCCACTTTTCTGGTGTCCATCGCCCGGGTAGCAGGTTATATGTTGATCCTTGTAATTGGTTCCCCCTTTCCACCCTACCCCCCTCCACCCTCCCGGTATCGCCTCTCACAGCACTGGTCCTGAAGGGATCATCTGTCCACCTCTCACAGCACTGGTCCTGAAGGGATCATCTGTCCACCTCTCACAGCACTGGTCCTGAAGGGATCATCTGTCCAATCCTCTTCTTCTGAAATCAGGGTTTGTGGGGTTGTTTTTGCTTCTGTGCTTCCTGGGTTTCCAGTTTCTCTGATTCTTAGGGATGAAAAGTCCAAAGTATGAAAAACTGACAGTACCCAGAGTTATTTTTTGACAAGTTTTCTCTGTACCTGTCACTTTCATAAACTCCCCAGCAGCACGCTTGTGTGACACCTCCAGCGTGTCTTCCTTCCGCGTGTTCTGTGCGTGACACACGGCCAAAGCCTGACCGTGGGAGGATTGTAACAATCAAAATAAGAACTAGCCATCTGTGTAAAAATAAATGTCCACATGGCCTGAATGGGTTTCTCCGTTCCCACTGCAGTACTCTGAGTACAGTATTAACATCGTTCCCCCAGTTTCCTCTACAAGGCTGGGAAGGTGCATCAGTGCCCTGGCCGAGTGAGAAGCAAAAAATCAGAAGGAGAGAGGGAAATGGACATGTATTAATTTCTCATGCCATCACTGTTACATGCTTCATGTTCCAATATGATGCCATTTAGTCTTTACAGCAACCCTGTAAAGTGTGTATTATTCAACGTATTTACACATGAGATTTCCCCAAAGTGTTGTTTAACTCCAAACTCAAACTCACTGCCATCAAGCCATTTCTGATACATAGTAGCCCTATAGGACAAGGTCAAGCGGCCCCTGTGAGTTTTTGAGACTGTAACTGTGTACAGGGGAAGGAAGCCTGGTCTTCCCAGGCATAGAACTAGTTGGTAGTAATTTGCACCCAGGCTCTTTTACTCTACTTTCCTAAAAGAATGAGGGGAAAAAAGAGGGAGGCAGTAAAAGGGAGACCCAGAATAAAAATTAGAGAGGAGAAAAAATACAAGGGCAATGGAGTGGCATATAAATAGTTCATACTCTTTTCATGCCTTAGAACCACATCTTTGTCACCCTCCCCACCCACCACCCACCCCCAGATTCTAATAATCTGGCATGCAAGACTGGTCCACAGATTCAGGATTCATGACAAAATACACCCCAGCAGCCTTGATGATATGTTGTTCAAATTTTCTGTCATAAAATGGATGGCTAGATCAGTTTTCTCCAGAAGAAATCCATATAAACTGGTTGATTTTAACCTTCCAACTTGTTCGGTGTTGACTTTTTCTTGCTTATCATTTGAATCTGGTGTCCTCTGCAGAGAAGAGCCCCTCCTGCCTTTCCTGCCACCTCTCATTGCTGTCGCAAGGGCATTGCGCACCGAGCTTTGAGTGCTACTGTTGATTGAAGTTGTCCCTGCAAGGATGTGCACTTGACATGTCAAGGAGTGAATGATTGACACCAAATATAAGTACTTTTAGTGTCAAGGCTTTTGTCAAGTCGGTGTTGTGAAGCCTAGACTCTTGAATACCAATAATACCAACCCTCTCAATTTACCAGAGACTTGAGTGTGAGCTCCCTTGTCCACAGATATTTATATGCCCCTAAAAGGAAAATAGAGTCTATTGTGGCAAAAGTAGAAGGATAATAGTTTGTGAACTTCTAAAATTATCTATGAGTTTAGCAACAATTTAAGAATCTGCATTGGTTTTATATTTTTCTGCCTGACAGTCTGTATTTGATGGATTGCCTTCCTCTTCTGTGTGTTCTGTTGATACATTTCTGTGGGACCACTATTTAGTGATGTGCTATTAACAGGCACTTTAATATAGCAAATAAGCTTTGTGTGAGTTGAGAAGTTTTACCTGGCTTCCAGACTTCAGATGGTTTACTTTCATGTTAAATAAGATGATGCTTTTGAACTTCCCAAAGAAAAAATTATGGTCATTACTGAAGCTACTGTTTTACAACCATTCAACGGAGTATTTTAATCCTGTTTCCTTTTGTGACCAAATAATTTATGTTAGGATTATTTTATGAATAATATTTTGATATGATTAGTTTATTGGTACTTTTTTTACTATCTAGAACATGTATGCTTTATTGCGTTGCCAAATATTTCAAAGTCTGGAAGAAATCATATATTGTAAAAGTGAATTCTGAAAAAAAAAAAAAAGTGAATTCTGGTTTCTTAGAATAGACATACTTAGGTCAAAATTGGTCACACCATATTAGCAAATCTTTCAGGAATACATTCTGCTCTGTGAGAACAATTAAAATATATTAACCTCTGCCCAGCATTAATTGATATCGATTTTTGTCTTCTCACTCTTTAGTGAGATATTTCGAGATTGGTTTTCTCTCTTTGTGTTTCCCTCCTTTACGATTGTTCCTGGTCTTTATCCATCAGCTAAAATCCTTGCATGTGTCATCCGCGGCGGCCCCTCTGTTCTTTTTAAATTATGTGACTGGCTCGCTTACTTCTCATCATCATCGGCTGTCTTGATCTCGTAGTTCTGAGTGACCTGGGGTTCTGTGGACTGAAGGGTACCTTTACATTCTGAGTTAGTTAATTGTGCCAGCCTGGCCGATAATCACATGTGGTGCTGGTTGAAAGGCGGAGGGATAAATGGGTGGTGAAGCCTCGCCTTTCTAGTTCTCAGGTCTCTTGTTTTGTGATGGTTGCATCGGGTGCAGCTGCCTTAGCAGTTCCCTGCTTCAGCTTGCAAGATGGATTTCCTACAAGACATCCCCAAGGAGAAGCCACATGGATCTATCTCGATGCAGCCCTGGGTGCTGGAGCAGCCATGTGGAGACCCCTGCCAGTGCTGAGATGCTTGTTCGTTCACTGACTCAGCTTTCCTCCTGCAGTCGGCATCATTGCCTCTGTTTTGTGAGGTGAAGGACTTTGTGGACTGGTGTTGGGTTAATGGGTTAATGTTGGACTTGTGGGCTCGGGCAGCATTGGGTTGGGATGTTTTCGTGATGCACATTTTCTTTGCATAAAACTCTCTCTTATACATGAGTTGCTGTGGATTTGTTTCTCCAAAGTACCCAGACTTATACACATTCGCATGGGAATTTTGAACAATATAGTTCATTGTATCTGGTCCTTATTTTCAGTACTCACCTTTGACGCGTGTAAGCTCACGTGCAGTGCCTGTGAAGTCAGTGGTTGTGAGGAAAGCATCCGCACCTATTTTTACAATTGCTTCCTTAGAAGGTTTTGGGGTTTTCATGACAAATACTGAGTAAATTTTCCATTAGAAGGCAGCACTTGGAAACATATTTTTCTACATTTCGTCTGATGAATTATTCTGGACTCAGGCTATAAAAGTGAAGAATCCAAATCTAATTAGAATTTTGTTGTTGTTGTTGCATTTCATTGCCTTGACCTGCCTTTTCAGCATTTCCCAAGCTACCCCTCTTATACTCGCGCTTTATTCCAATCAGACGGACTGACGGAAATCATCTGGATATGCTTTGATCTTTCCTACCCCAGTATTTAAAATCTATATGGACATATCTGGTAGCTTTCTGTTTTAGAATTATTTGGCACTTACAGAGCAGTGGAAAATAGTGCAAAGGGTCTCCACAAACGCTTCAGCCAGATTCCCAAGCATTAGCTGTTTAGCACATTTGCTTAAAATGTTATATTCATGTCGAGTTGACTTTTGTTTCTGTTTTCCCTGGAACATTTGTGAATAAGTTGTAGACATGGTGGTTCTTTACCCCTAAGTACAGTGGGTTTGTTTCATAAGAACATCGTCATCACTCTATAATAATCAAAATCTGGAAACCATGAGCTTATCGGCATACTTTATTGAAATTGCCCAATAATGCCCTTTGTAGCGTAAAGGAGGTGGTGGTGGTAACTTCTGGTTCAGCGTCATGTCTCATTAGCCCCTGTGCCCTGGACTACGACCTCGGCATTTCTTTGTCTTGCGTGACGGTGATATTTTAGAGGGTGCAGTGCCCAACCCTGTGCATGTCCATTTTCACTCCAGCCTGAAGGTTTTCTTCCCTCTCCCGAGCAGCAGCAGCTAGACCTGCAGGCCCTGCCTGCGGTACAGCTTTCCCTGACCACCAGTGGGATGAAGGGGACCTGTAAGGGTCTTCGCAACATTTGTGGGAAAATGGATTTAAAAGATAACAGACTTTTTTTTTTAACCACGTTGAAACACTCATATTTCACCCACTCATTCTTAGAATTTGCTGCCTTGAGTTTCATGATTTAAAGAAATTCAAATACAGGAGTACAGAAAATAAAAAGTGAAAGTCTCTGTCCAGTTTTTCCCTAGTCCCTCTTCCCCTCATCTACACGACCACCAGGCCACCCCACCTGCAGACGTGCTGTGCCTTCCATTTGGGGGACCTGATCTTCAGAACCTCGTTAGCCCTTTACAGGAAGAAAGCTACTGTTTAGATTTGGCATCCCAATAGAGCGTGGAGCAGAACTGAGAAATGCTCGGTCATTGCTTATCATTTGAGGTTGTAAAGAAACAATTACGGTTGCTATGATTACTTATTTGAAATGTGGGAAATTCCCTATTAAAATAATAATTGTGTTTTCTCTTTTTTAAATTTAGGTTGTTAAAGGCCTTACCTATTTGTGGAGTTTAAAGATTTTACATAGAGGTATGTACTGGATTTATAAACTCTAAATATAGATATTTTTTACCTGGGAGTGGAGGGGAGAATGTTTCCTCCAGATACTGCTATGTTAAAAGTGAATAAGTCATCTGATATTTAAGCCTGAACATATATCTGGTGGTCATAAGAAAACTGCTTTATAAATGTTATGTTTACTTTGAATACTTTCTCCTAAAAGTACTCTCTTTGAAATGATAAACTTGTGACCATATTTTTCTGAGTCATATTTCACAAACACAAAAAGATATTTCATGGTATTTGAAAAGAATAGGATCTCACTTTTCTTATTTTCATTAAAGTATGAAGGCCGGGCCTTCACTTTCGCTATCACAGTATGCCCTCATTTTATTAATTTTCCAAGCCATATCGCTTGCCATGCCTTGAACCAGAAGCATAAAATAGGTGCAGTGCAATGAGTTTCATTGTATATGCGCTTTCTGTGAGTGTGTATTTGGCCAGGGTGACTTACTAGGCCCAGTCTTGCAAAGGGGCTGGGCAGTGCGCTGGGCAAAGAAGGTGGCCTGCTGAGGGGCTTGGTTAGTTCATGGCATTGGTGGAGGAATGGGTTTATCAATAAGCCAATCCCGCAGAGGTGTAGGAAGACCTCACTGACGTCAAGAAGAAAAGCCAGGAGTGGAGGGTGTCCTTTGGACTTGGGACCCTGTGCTTAGAACCTCCTATACCCCAGCAAAGAGCAAGTGCCAACCCTGAAGAGGGCAAGCATCTGTGTGGCAAGCACTGCAGTGGCAAGAACAGTGGCAGGGCAGGGCAGTAGAGACCAAGAAACCAGCATATGATGACTGTGGTGGGGCTTACCACCCAATAGAATGAGAGCGCTGAGCACCTGTGGGCAGAAGTTTGCTGGTGGAGTGAGGTGCCTCTGGACACATATTGGTGGTGTGAAGGAGCTATGCCATTTGGTTTAGTAGGAAAGAGGTCAGGCCCAGCAGCTCAAACATGACCTGCCTGTGGGCATTATTCATCTCAAAGAGTGAGACTAGTAGGAGAAGGAGTTGAGAGAAATCTTGGTTGGAAGCTGGTTGACAATTGTATTGTGTATCCCATTACTTCCAAGTTGGTTCCCATCCTGAATAGAAACTTAATCCTTCCCTAATAAACCACATACTCAATATGTTCTGTGAGTTCCATGTGGCCAAATTATTGAGCCTAGCACAAAAGTGGAGTTCCGTGAGGAGGACAGCTGATGTCAGAATTGGTAAAAAGTCTGGAAGGTGGGGATATGTGAGTTTGACCTCCATCCTCTGCTGAAATTAAGTGAGGTCTGACCCCACTCCCTTACCTGAGGAATTGGTGGAAGCGTGAGAAGTAGTCTCCTGGTCTACGAAGAAAACAGACAAGAGAAAGTCAGATCATTGTTGAATGCTGCCAAAGGAGCCTCCTTTCCTGTTTGTATGCCCCAGAATGTCTGAATTCACTGAGAGCCTACTATTAAGTAAGACACAGACTATAGCAAACCAACCCCAGGTCCCAGTGTTCCTAACTGTACTCTTTAATTTTACACATCTGTTCTTCCTAGCTTTATGCATAGTTGGGGAATGTACAGCATACACATTAGATGTGATTAAAAGAAAGTTCTTTTGGGCACAAATAAGCAACTGCCGTCTTTGCTGGTGGTACTGCGTCTGTCACTCAGGGTACTTTGTTGTAGCGGCTTTAGTATCGCAGTGACTCCAAAGGCCTCTCAACTTCTCTGTCCTTGTTTGAAGGGGTTCTGGGTTTCGACAAGTAAGATGTCCATGCAGTTCCTGAAGTTAAGGATGCTGATTAAGTGGAATAGTAAGCCAAATGTTCAAAGCCACTTATTATTTGTAGAGTTTCGTTACTGCAAAATGTAGATTTCAGGAGTGTGAGCTCAGTTGTGTGAATATTACTGTCCCTGGCTATAAATATGTATGTAAATATTTTGGGTAAGTGAAAGATAAAGCATTATTTCTCACCAAGATTGAGACTGACTGGTATTTAACGGAACATGACTTACAAGGGGGTACCAAAAAAACCTAGACACCCCTCCCCCCAAGCTATGTATTTAAATTTTTTTTATAGAACAACCGTATCACCTTCAAAGTACTCTCCATTACAGTTAATACATTTGTCAAATCTGCGATTCCATACTTGGAAACATTTTTCAAACTCATCTGTTTGAATGGCTGACAGCACCTCCCTTGATTTTTTCTTCGCCTCTTCTACATCATCAAATCGCTGCCCTTTCACGTCCCTCTTCATTAGTGCAAACAAAGAGAAGTCGCACAAAGTGAGGTCAGGTGAGGAAGGTGCGTTGGGCAAGAGAGGCATGCTGGTTTTTGCGAAACTCGTGCACTGAGATGGCTGTGTGAACAGGTGCATTTTCATGGTGCAAAACCAGTCCCCCATCCACCACAAAGCAGGCCTTCTTGGTCGCACAGTTATACAATCTTTTTTTTTTTTAGTTTCAGTATTTTTTTAAATCATTTTATTGGGGGCTCTTACAACTCTTGTTACAAGCCATACATCAGTTGTATCTGACATGTTCATATACATGTTCTATCGTTACAAGCCATACATCAGTTGTATCTGACATGTTCACACACATGTTCCATCGTTACAAGCCATACATCGGTTGTATCTGACATATTCACACACATGTTCCATCGTTACAAACCATACATCAGTTGTATCCGATGTGTTCGTACACATGTTTCATCGTTACAAGCCATACATCAGTTGTATCTGACATGTTCATATACATGTTCCATCATTACAAGCCATACATCAGTTGTATCTGACGTGTTCGTACACATGTTCCATCGTTACAAGCCATACATCAGTTGTATCCGACATGTTCACACACATGGTCCATCATTCTTTTCTAGACACTTACTTTCCACTGAGCCCTTGGGATCAGCTCCTTTTTTTCCCCTCCCTCCCCCCACCCCAAACCTCATCGCCCCCTGATAGATTGTAGATTGTTAATTATTTTCAAATCTCACACCGACAGCTGTCTCCCTTCCCCTCAGGTTTCTATGTTTCTTCCCCCTGGATGGGAGACACAATCTTCTCAGAAATTTTAAGTAGAAAACTTGATTAACAGTCTAACCTGGTAGAACAAACTCCAAATGCACTGAGTCAACATTTTCATCCATTTAGGAAGGTAATGGACATTCAAAGGAGATTGGCCATCATTTCACCTTTTTTGAAATGAGAAAACCACTCATACACTTGAGGTTTTCCCATAGTGCTGCTGTTTGTACTTTGCGTGCAGAGGCAAATACTGTTATATACGCAATCTTGCAATAATAGTGGTCTATGGGTGGATGCTTGTGTAAACATGCAAGCTGAGCAGTTGTTTGAGGGAGAGTGGGAGTACTGTGTGTGTGTGTGTGTGTGTGTTGATGGATCTTAACGGGGCAAAGCTATGAAAATAATTAGCTTAGGACTATAGATTCAGGGGACACGAGGGTCAATTGGCGTTACATAGTTCATAGAAAAAAATTGTTCTACATCCTACTTAATGTGTAACAATTAGGGTTTTAAAAGCTCGTGAGCAGCCATCTAAGGTACACACATTAGCCTCTCCCTCTGGAGGAAGAAAGGTGATGAAACCCGAGGGCACGTGGAAACAATAAGGTCAGCAGACTCATGGACCATCAGGCATCAGCCTCCACAACCCTGAGACCAGCAGAACGAGATGGTGCCCAGCTATCACTACTAACTGTTCTGAAAAGGATCACATTAGAAGGCCCTGGATAAAGTGGACAAAAAGTGTAGAACAGGGCTCAGACTCATAAGAGACCAGTGTTACTGACCAGCTAGTGACTGATGAACCCCCGCCCTTCAGGTCTGGAATTATTTGGTTTTAGTTTTACTCTGGCTGGGGGGAAAGCTGAATTTCTCTATTGAAATGGGGATCTTACAGACATGTTTCAAATGGATTTGTGTCTCAGTCTCAGAATAAAGTTTAAGAATGGTCTCCATTGTTTGGAGAACAGAGGAAGGAGTAGTCAGGAATAGCAGCAAGCTGTGGAAGGCACGCCGTCACCTCCATGAGTGACCACCTCCGTGGCCATGAGAACAGAGTAGCATGTTTCCCAGCGACCGTGACTGAACATGTTAGTCCAATGTTCTGTTAGGAATCCTGATCCAAAGGAGGGACATGCAGAACATAGTGTCAAATTACCAGAGAATCAGACTTTCAAAAGCCAAGGGGGTTCGATAAACCCTGAAACTATTGCCTTAAGGTCATCTTTAAAACAGATGAAAAATATCCCCTGAAGGCGTCTTAACACCAAATAATAATTTATCTCAACTTGCTAAAAAATATCTGCTTAAAGTATTATACTCTTAACAACCCTCTCTATGGGGTGAAAGTGACAATTGAAAGACTAGCTGGCAGTGTGTTTGTTAGTGGGGGAAGAACAACTACGAAATGACGCGAATAGATAGTAATTCAAAGAATGTAATCAATGTCACTGAATCATACATGTAGAAAAAAGTGAATTGGTGTGTTTGCTGTGCATATTCTCAGTAAAATAAAAAATCAGTTTATTGTAGTCATGGTACTCACAGTGTGGCCACTGCGGGCAAGCCTGGTGAACTAGAGCTCTCAGGGGCAGGGAGGTCTGTCTTTCCAGCTCAGGATGCCCGGTAAGCCAGGAAGGGCTTTCCCATCAGTGATGCTCTAGGGCCGTAGGGGGTTGAGGACATGGAGGCTACAAAGGGGAGTCCTGAGCCCATACTGTTTTCTCCCTTCTGTGCCGGCCGGCCCGAAGCACAGAGAACAGCCTGCTGGAAAGATGCTAAGGGATTGGATGGAGGCAGTGAAAGTAGGCCCACCAGTCTCACTAGGAATGTCACTTGTAAATACATTCCGGTGAGTGAGGTCCATCTGTATCTGTCTAGATGGAAAGACTAGTGGGGATGAAATTATTTCCCTGTAGTGATGGCTGCTCAACTCGAGAGAGAAATCAGTATATTGTGGCAATATACCC